CCATTTTTCATTCTCCAGAGATCCAGTTTCTTACTGGGGTACTGAGTTTAGTTTTTTCAAATACACGAGTTCTTGTGAATTTGTTCCATCTTAAAGACATATAACTCCCCCCCCCCCCTCCATCCACTCCCACTCCATCCAATATTAATTTATTTCGATTTTTTTTGTATAACGCATGGAAAGTAACTTTAAAAAGTGTTTTGTTGTTTTGTTGAGTTTTCTTGCAGAAGATGCTCCCCCCCCTCCATCCATTTTGTACAATCACCGGGCGTGATATTGAGCAATATGTAGGGAATGCTTAAATCTAGTAATGATGTAATTCATTGCAAGAAATGATCAAGTACGTACAAGGCAAACTTTGAGAAACTTGTCAATCTCAAAACCTGCCATTGACTTTATACATGACAAAGTTTCCTGAAAATGACTAAGTCCTACTTTTTGTCAAGTTTTATAGAGTAAACACCAAAAACTGTAATTCCAAGAGCTTTGAAATCTTTCAGAGGACATAAGTTGCATATACAGCAACTACTACAAGTTATTCGAAAGTTCTACTTCAACAAAATGTCTAGTATTTACAGAAAATCAGCAGTTTCTCAGAAACCAGGCTAACTTGGGAAATGGCAATGATAGGTCAAAAAGGCATTATGAATATGCATAAAATGAATGTGGATATGACTCAATCCGAATAGCAGTTTTAATTTGTGAGGTCAATGTTGACGGACGGACGGACTGACGCAACTTTGAATATTTTCTATTCAGTAGTTAGTTTAGTCTTAGTTTAATTTTGTATATTGTAGTGACTAATTTGTCATTGCAACAACATCAGAGTCTTTTTTAAAAATTTATTTCTATCATTCATTAGCATACAAATCAATATTTCAAAATGCAATTTTTCAAAAACTTTAAATACATTTTCTCAATCTCAACAATCAGACTTGCCAACCTCTCGTTTTTTTACAGGAATCTCCCGTAAATTTTTTGTTTTTTCCGTAAAAAATACCAAACTCCTGTACCGTTTTCTCCCGTATTTTTGCTGAAATCTCCCGTAAAATCTCCCATATTCTTGGTATAACTCCCGTAAAATCTCCCGTTTTCTGGTATAACTCCCGTAAAATCTCCCGTATTCTTGGTATAACTCCTGTAAAATCTCCGTTTTTTGCTGTCGAAATCTACCATATTTAAAAGGAATTTGACAAATTTGTGACCTTGATTATTGCAGGCACGCTTCTTTCTTTTACTCCAAGAAGGATTGGCTCCCATGGTTCACTATCGATACTTTCATAAATAACTTAAAAGTACTTCAATCCCATGATTCAAATTGCTTTTCTGCGATCAGTTCGGTATAGGTTTGCACACCAAATGTCCACAAACGGGGCCAGTTCATATTCTGTCATACTTCTGTCGGGAGAATACATTTTGTTTTTACATGGTGCTAAACAAAAATCTGCCGTAAAAACTCTCGTTTTTTCAAAATCTACCGTAAAAACTCCCGTTTTTTCAGAAATCTACCGTAAAAACTCACATTTTTTCAAAATCTACCGTAAAAACACCTGTTTTTTTCAGAATCTCCCGTAAAAACTCCAGTTTTTTTTAAATTTACCGCAAAAACTCCTGTTTTTTTAAATCATCCGTAAAAACTACCGTTTTTTTTCAAAAATCTCCCGTAAAACTCCCGTTTTTTTTTCAAAAAACCCCCAAAAAATGCAAAAACTACCGGATTTTGAAAAAAATTTCCGTAAAAGTACCACAATTTTTTTTAAATCTCCCTAAAATTTTTCATTTTAGTTTGGCAAGTCTGACAATGCTTCTAACATATTTTTCATATTCAAACATTACAGATATATTTTTCTCTCATTCTTTGAAATTTAAAGTCATGTATAGTTTTCTTTATTACAAGTGACTTGTATAATAACTTTTGATCTAATATTCCTATCCTATTCCTGTTTTCTCATTATCATTCAAAGCTACATCTTTCCAAATATTTTTGATTGCATTACAATGTATAAAAAAGTGTTCAATATTATCAACTTCATTACATAGTTTACATAAATCAGATTGTTCTATGTTATATTTTTTAATAAACCACCATGGAAAATTTTCCATTGGATACTTAAAAGACCAGTGTAGGTACCAGACGTTCATTTAAATAGCTGATTCCAAATGTCTGAACCAATAGTCAAATCATTAAATTGTACATCACACTGCCTTTCTTTTACAAGCTTATTCCTGGTTTTCTGTGATGTTAATTTTTCAATCTTTATCCCTCGAAATACTAGTGTTTTACTGGGTTCTATATTACGATACATATGAATTCTCTCTTGATTTAAACAAGCTCTTAAAATGTTATACTTGCATTAATGTTTCAGCATTTTTTCCTATTAATTCAGAAATTACCTCATATGGTTTTAAGTGTCCATTCACAACAACATCTGATATGTAGATTAAACCCTTTTCTATCCACTTGTGAAAGTACAAGGGATATCTACTTAATACAATATTCCATATTATAGATTCATCTGTATAATTGCTATTCTCAAGCCACGCAAATAATAATTTTTTATAGAAAATGCTCATTTCAACTGATCAGCACTTATATTGCTGTTGAGAACACTAAACTTTTTACCTAATTTTCCATACATATACTCTGGTATAGCTCTCCAGTGGCCATCGTCATTCTCTGTTAATCTTTTAATCCATTGAATCATGTATGCAATTTGTAAGTCTTTACAGTTAATCATTTTTAAACCACCATAATCATAACCTTGTACTAAAATATCTCTTTTTACTTTATTGGGCACCTTTTTAAGGTCCTCCTCTTTGAATTTCCCTTTTGCCCATATGAACTTGAACATCATGGTGCTAATTCAGACATCAGAGAGTCAATAAAAGATATCTATACACTGGTACAAAATTGAATGATGTACACATGTGACAAATATCAAGGCACATGTGAGGAAAATTCCATTTTTTGCCACCCTGTAAATGGATTTTTTATCATGAGGAAACATATAGGTCAACAATAAACTATATACAAAACAATACATTAATTAGCTCCAGTGAACCTTAAGCTTCAACAACAGGTTATATTTGAGACATTTAAATTTGTATTCAAAAATAATATACAAAAAATCTCCTTGAACACATGTACATTCTTGTACTATTGTTTTGGGTAATATATCCATAATACAGAATAGAGTGTTACACCCTCATAAACTGTATATTTAAATATGATCAATCAATTTATACATTGAAATGCTTTGCTATTTAGGTAACACATTTTCTATGAAAAAATATGTTTGCATATATACAAGTATAACTAAATATTAATTCTTTAAAAATCAATAATGTTTTTCAGTCATAATGTTTGGGCCATCAGATCTAGGGGCCTTTTTTCCTCCCACCAGAATTTCTTGTTTGAAAGTGTATGTATTCTGAAACATAGTTGGAAAGAGAACATTGGGCTTACTTGGATCAAGACTTAGGCCCAGAATATTCAAAACCTCAAGATCAAATGGTCAGTCCCTAAAATGCTGTTTGTTTGGTATGATGTCCAAAAACAAAGTTTATTTCATTATTATATATTTAACCCCTCCAGCCCCCTTACATGTACAGTATACAGTGCAACAGATTTTTACCTCAGAAAAGCACAAAACCAGTGAAAACAGCATTGATTTCATTCAATGCACCATAAAGCCATGTGTCACCCATTTACAATGATATATCATTCATTGATATTTGGTCATGGTTGGGCGTGTTAATCATTCCATTTGGGACCAAGTTATAAACATTGCAAAAGTCAGTGTGCGGAGCCTGATGCAATATTGGAAGAAAACATAAAACCAATGATGACTGCATCCTTTTCATTCAATGTACCAAAAAGCCAAATTACTCCTCTTTGCAATGGAATATCATTCATTCACAGAGAGTCATGGCTGGCCAGGTAATCATTAATTTTGAAAAGTGGGGCAAAATTCAGCTCGGACCCAAGTTTTAAACACTGCGAAAGTCTGTACAAGGGGCATATGGGCTATTGGAAGAAGTTATGACAGGTGTGGCATAGACAGTAAAGTGTTCATACTCATACTCTTGCAAGAATACATCCTTTACCCCTCCAAATTGCCACCACTTCCTTGCACATAAAGATCCGCTCATCTGTCCAGGTCATGCATGGTTTAGCCCTGAGTCATCTGTGGGTAAAAGCAGAGAAAAGCAGCCCATGGGCAATTCTTTCTCGAGGTTTTGCAATATCTGGCGGAGAAATTGTGAGCACAGATGCTCCTGAGATAGCTCCAAAAGAGAAAGTCACAACAATTCAAGTCAGGGGAACTTCCATTGTCACTTAGCCCTTGCACTGATTTTTGCAATATCTAAAACTTGGTCCAGAGCCGATTTTGACCCACTGCACAAATGGAAGGATTTATCACCCAACCATTACCACATGTGAATGAATATATATTGCAAAGAGGAGAGACGTGACTTTATGGTACATTGAATGAAATTGATGTAGTCATCACTAGTTTTGTGATTTTACGAGATAACTACTTGTTGCGTTTTTTTATACGCCCTGTATAACAATAATAAACGATTTTGATAGCTATACATGTCTCATGTTCAAAAATTGGAAGAAGGTATGACAGGTGTGGCATAGACAGTAAAGTGTTCATACTCATACTCTTGCAAGAATACATCTTTTACCCCTCCAAATTGCCACCACTTCCTTGCACATAAAGATCCGCTCATCTGTCCAGGTCATGCATGGTTCAGCCCTGAGTCATCTGTGGATAAAAGCAGAGAAAAGCAGCCCATGGGCAATTCTTTCTCGAGGTTTTGCAATATCTGGCGGAGAAATTGTGAGCACAGATGCTCCTGAGATAGCTCCAAAAGAGAAAGTCACAACAATTCAAGTCAGGGGAACTTCCATTGTCACTTAGCCCTTGCACTGATTTTTGCAATATCTAAAACTTGGTCCAGAACTGATTTTGACCCAATGTGCCAATGGAAGGATTTCTCACCCAACCATTACCACATGTGAATGAATGACACATCATTGCAAAGAGGAGAGACGTGACTTTATGGTACATTGAATGAAATTGATGTAGTCATCACTAGTTTTGTGATTTTACGAGATAACTACTTGTTGCGTTTTTCTGATACGCCCTGTATAACAATAATAAACGATTTTGATAGCTTCATGTCTCATGTTCAAAAATCAATATTTTTCACTCACAAAATGTTCATTAACCTTAAAATTAATTCTTTCATGAATTGACATTTGGACACTATGTATGTGGTTTATTTTATGCATCCTTTCTTTCTTGGGTTTCTTCTGAGGCAGATTTCTTCTTAGGCTTAGCCTCGTCACTGCCCATCCTACCAGGTGCAAATACACTTCCTCCTGTGCCAACCACAATACCTAGTGCCATACAAGGAAGTATTCCAAATCCTGTTACATATCCTGCCCCCGCACCAACAGCCATACCAAAATAACACATACGGTCTGTAATCACTTGCCCCCTGTTGTATCGAATCCTGTAAGAGCGGTCGTAAAAATTTTCATATTCAAATTTCCTCGATGCCGCATATGTTATTATAGGGCCAGCTACTGCACCGATAATTGCACCATTTGTGCCAAATTTAAGAGCAGTAGTTGCTATCGCCTGCATTGTTCTAGGTCCTCTGACAAGCTGTGTGATTGGCCCAATTGCTAGCATGCCCATCATAGCTCCCATCTGAATGGTCTTAGTGCCTATATGAACTGCGAGCTCGAGTCTGGGGTTAGAAATGTCCTCCATATCTGCATCAGTAACTGTCATACCAGAGATGTTCTTCAGCCATATTGCGCCCCCCTAGAAACAAATGAACAGATAAACATGAACTTTTATGTTACTAATATAAAGAGACAAGTTTACATCACATGAATGACATGAAGATTACTCCAGTGAATTATTTCTCCTTATGATCAAAATCAAATGTGCATATATTTTGACCTGTAGTTTATTTAGTACTATTCACCTTTCCACAAAGTAAAGAAAATCGATAATTTCAGGCACGCTGATTGGTTGTATGCAAATGAGTCAAATCAATGAAGTGAATGGTAGAAAGTTTTGAAGAATTAGTACAGCCAGCATAGGAATATTTTGAATTAACTGCAATAAAAAGGATTCTATTTGCCCAATGCACTAATTATTTTTAATCAAATATAAAATATGGACGGGGCACTTTCATTCCGAATCTTAAGTAATTTGATTTAATCATTTAAAGGTTGAATAAAGACTATAGAAGAAATTTGGGAGTCATTTTACCTTTCCCGAGCTATTAGTGCAACGTTTGGCCTAATGTCTTAAAGTATATGCACTTGTCAACGAATACCACCAATCAGACTTGTAAATAGACTTCTAAATAAGCAATTGAAAGGTTGGACGTCCCGCATTTTGTTTTTTGAAACATTTCTAAATCTCCGCCATTTAAAATTCTTGCTGCAGCTGAGCTAGGTAAGACCGCATGTTACAGTATAACCGCGGTTGTCTGATATAACTGTATGCATGGTACACGATATGACCGTTGTCGACGGTCTATTACCGGCGACTCTTGCAGTTAATCTGATCCACTGACGAAGAAAAATCAAAAAAATCTTAAGACTAAAACACCTTAAATCTGACCATATTCAAGGTCTTCTTGACACGCAAAAGGAAACAGAATGTTGGATAGAACGTTAGGTGAAAACGGGGCTGGAATCCAATGACAATATAACCGGGAAATCATTAAAAGGTACGTGAGCATTTTTTCTGTCGATGTCGGGAGAAGATTTCCGGGGATTTAGGATGCCAGTGATTGTGCATATCGGCAGAAATTAGGTACGTTCGGGGGTTTTCTTTGTAGCTAATGAAAATAGATGTTAGCCTTGATGAAATATTCAAAATTCGATATATATTGACACCAGGACCATGATCGTTGGATACGTCTCTGCACTATTTATTCAACCTTTAAGTGACAGAACTGTTGTTTATTAAGACTCCTCAGATCAGCCTCACATACCCGGGCTCACATGTCTCATGTGATTGTAAACAAAAAAATGTAAACAACTCGGTTTTATTATCTGATAGTGGTCATACAATATCTTGTTAAATGGTCAATATGTCGTAGTGAGAAGGTCCATCAGAAATTCATCACGAGTGACATTCACGCAAAGCGTTACCTTTTGGTATTTATTCGCCATCAGCGATGTCAATAATGATCAGCAATGTCAACATATCATCAATAAACATTATATGGTATAGCCTCTTTCCCCAGATCTTCCCAGTGATCATTATTCAAAACCGATCATCACAACTAAGTCATCCTATGAAAAATGAGGTTGCACAAGAGAAGTTATAGGACACCCTGCATATCCAGGTTTGTTTTCTGTTAAGCGTTCTCATTCTCATTATTTTCGAGAAATCCATCATCATTTTGGTTAAGAAAAATTTTACGGTCTGCTGGATCTATTTTGACAGTTTTGCTTTAGCAAGATATTTTAACAAATTGACTGACATGTTCATACACTGAATAAAAAACATTTTACCAGGAATATTTGGATCGGGAGATATGCAGCGGGAAATATATGTGACATATACATTGGAATATATACATGTATATGTCACGCTCCTCCAAGATATCAATTCCATATTCCGATGTTTTCAAGTATAACATATTCAAGATACGATCTGATATGACTTGCAGAAATAAATAGGAAGTAATCGTTTAGTTCATTGAATTATGGGAGTAGTGAAGTCAATGATTTAATGAAAAAGAGCAAATGTTAATTTGAACAGGTCATTCATCAAATGACACTGAAGATTAAGTTAAATAGATTGTCTATCTATATATTTTTATGCACGAGAGACATGTTATAATGTTGGTGACCGAACTCCCATGCAGTGTCTCGGTATAGACACTGCGGTGGGCAGACGAAGAAAATCCCCAAAATTTGGGGAAAATAGTTCCCTTTTTCATCAAATATGTGGTCAATTTTCACACAACTTATAAAATATGTATTCATAAATGTTCCCCAAACATTATTTTGTCAAAATATTTCAAAATTATTGAAATATGAGAAGAAATCACCGCGGAAGGAATTCTGAGTAAAAGTTGTGTTGATAATAGTTTACAGCACGTGTTGTTTATCAGTTAATACGCGCAATTCAACCAATGAAATGGTCTAAATTTAACAATCACGCGACCTGAGCATGGGACTAGAACCAATCACGTCAGTTGTTTATTACGAAGTTACCATGCTTACGGTGAGATACCTGCCCGCCGCAGTGATACTGGAGAGGTTAAGCTACCGTATAAAATCCAAAACGCAACTTAAACGTATCATTCGGCCCTATACAAATACATGTAGAGTTCACACATAAATAGCCGTTCAGCTCTAGTGTTTGTTCAGACTACACCATAGCTTGTAATGATTACATAGTATCCCATTGATGAAGTTCAATAGCTGGTTTTCTAATACATATTTTAAACGAGCTCGTTTCGTAAGATTATTGGAGTTAAATCATGCGTAACATACATCATCTTCTTCAGAAAGAATTATACTCTGCATCGAAATCAAAATTGCAAGGATAGTATTCAACAGACATGAGTATAATGATTCCCGTTGATAGCAACGTGAAATTTCTAAATCTCCCGTTCTAAACACGCAACTTTGAAGTTGAACGGGTATCTGAAGTAGACTAAAGCGATACAATCCTATGTTGATTCAATACTTTGCGTTTACGTATACGTTTTGAAAAACCGTATTTGCTTAACCTCTCCACTATCACTGCACGGGAGTTTGGTTGGTGACCTAATGATTATGATAATTTCACCTGTTTACATCCAGTTCCTATCATGATTGAAAACTGACTGGGAGTAATTCTCTTCTAATTATTTACTCATTATGAACAGAAATTTAATATTTAATTCGCTCAGAAGGCGTAAATAAATGTCAATTTGACGTTCAATAAAAATCTGTCCATAATTTACTGAATACTTGCACATTTGAAGAGGTAAAACTTACAGCAATCAACCATTTACATGTAAACTCAATTGCATTTGTTTTTTGCAGGAAAAAGTTTCCCTCATTGACGTCACAGATTTTTAAGCAGCTCATTATAATATTCATGAGCTGACTTTGTGGAAAGGTGAATACAGACAAAATGCAAAATTTTCTGAAAACTTTGATCGTTCAAAATCAGACTTGCACAGCGCTTTTATATGAAAGAACTCAAAATAAACCATACCTGTCAAGTAAAAAAATAGGGATATTCTAGTTCTAAACATCAGAAGTCAAGATTTTTAAAGAAAATTTGGGGTGAAAATCGAGATTTTTTAAAGAAATATCGGGAGAAAAACAGTATTTCTATAAAAAATCGTGATTGTTTAGGATAATCGGGAGGAATGGGAGTTTACAATGAAAATTGGGAGGATATTGGGGTTCACAAAAATAATCTGGAGAAAATCGGGATAACGATACTCAGGAGAAATCGGGAGTTTGCAATGAAAATCGGGAGGAAATCGGCGTTTACAAAAATAATGGGGAGAAAATCTCTTGATTAGGATAATCAGTAGAAACCAGGAGTTTACAATAAAAATCGGACCTCATAGCACATTACTTGCAATAGTTCAATATCTTACATGAAGTCAAAGAATACTGTCAATTAAAACATAACTATGCGTTCAGTATGTTGTATTGAATATCTCAGGCTGAGAATGAACGAGTAAATTAAATTCTGGTTTCAAATACATGTAGTTTAAAGAAGATTAAATAAGCAAACAGTATGTGTAGTAAGCTATTTCGTTTTATCACAAAAATGCTTTTCCATATTTGTTTTCACCATGTTCCAACTTTCATTGTAATGTCTCCTATATGAGTTTCAATTGGTCGGAATTTTTCAGTCCCAGAACGTTCCATTTATTTCTGCTCTAGAATACTGTAGTTAAAAGAAGATGAAAGAGCTTTACAAGCGTATTTGTATGTGTAGTTTGCTACTGCTATTTTGTTTTATCACAAAACCTGTCGTATACTCTTATTTTTTGTGAGGGCATCCCATTAAAATTTGGGGTGTCCAAACTTTGATTATATGCAATAAAATTGAAACCAAGGTGCTCAAAATGTGGCCAAGGTGTTCAGATTTGGACCAAGGTGTCCAAAATTTGAACAAAGGTGTTCAACATTTGCAAGTCACTCATGTTAGGTGTTCCCAAGTTGACAGGCCTGTATGCGGTGATGCGGTAACGTTAATACCTGAGAGCTAATATGTCTCGTACTGACTAGTGGGGCCTTTATTTAAACCTGGTTCACACCAACGGCGAATGCCACGCTTTAAATCGGCCAGCAAAGTGCCGTCATGTTTGTTTACTTTTCCAAAAATATGTAACATTTAACGGGAATTAAACGTTAATAAAAATAATGTTCATGGCTTCAGTCCCTAATAGTAAACATAAAACATGTGTAGATGACAAATCTCCTAAGTTTATTTCATCTTCCTAGCTACATTTTGCAAAATCTTTATTTCATCTCAAGCACAGTTGAAAATTATCTGTATCTCAAAACTGTTCTTTTAACAATTAAGGTAAAATAGTTCCTCCTTTTTAAACCGCAGTTGTCTGACCACTCATCAAATATATTAGTTTAAACATATTCCTGTGAAAACTCTGCGTCATTCTTAATAAAGCTAAAAGCTAATCTTCATGTTTAACTATATATCCATGTTTGATAACATCTTCCAAAGTTTGTATAACATTTTCAAAAGTTTAAAGCTACTAAACTTTTGCCCTTGCCTCTCCTGTAACCACGTGTCTGCATTGGCAAACAAAGGAATGT